CCCCAAAACCCCAAAACCCCAAAACCCCCAAAACCCCAAAACCCCAAAACCCCGAACAATTTTTAAATTTTAAATATTATTTTAAATGAGCTTAAAGCTTGGAGGCAAATCGAGCAAGAATACAAGCAGGTTTGGGAAAAGAGAGAATGATATTAAGAAGTCAAAAGGTAAAATGTTGCATCCAATATAGGCCGCCGTGATAACTCTAGTGACGGAGATTTCGACCTAAGTGACTCTTTGGAGAGAGGAGGTAAGCCAAAATCCTCCCTCGGCCTTAATAAAGGCAAGGCTAGAGGAGGTCAGCCTACTCCTTCTCTTGGACTTGGTAAGAAACCCAGTAGAAGGCCTGGGAGAATTAATGATACTTTTACTACGAAGTCAGACGGGAGGAGAAGTATGGGGAGTTCCAAGAGAAAGTCTCATAGGAAAAACTCCCCAGAATTTGGATTTCAAGATAATGGCTCTGACCAAAGACTTGAAACCTTCGGAAACCGCGAAGAAAGGCCAAAGAAGAATTATAAAGGGGGACTAGACATAGACAATGATGAAAAATCAAGAGGAGCTCAAACAAGTTACAACTGGAATAAGGATAAGAGTAAGGATCGGAGAGACCAGAGTAGAGGCAGAAACTCTTCTAAGCCTCCTGCAGGAGCTGGCAGCAGGTACTCCTCTAGAGGAAGGAATGACAGTAAGGATAGAAGCCGCAGCAGAAATAGAGATCAAAAGTCAGGGTTTAGAGATGGTAGATCACAAAGGTCAAGAAATCCTTCTCAAAAAGGAGCATCAGAAAAGAAGAGTAGAGCAACCTCAAGTTATGATGATCCAAGATTTGAAAAACATATGAGTGCTAAAATAGCTAAAAGTAGTAGAAAAACTCTGAATTTTAATGAGAAAAAGGAGAAAAGAGAAAAAGAATGGTTACTTGAGTATCAATCGCATAAACCTCTTGTTCATTTAATTGATAGATTCGGACAACCCCCGAAGAAAACTCAGAGTTATCTTATCACTCTTGAAAAGGTTAAGAATATTCCTCATAATGAATTCCCCTTAATCAAGGAGAAAGGAGTGACCACAACTTTGAATTACTGTTGTACTCTCTTTGATGAGGAGGAAAGGGAATTTTTCGGAAGATCTTATACCTCGAGACCTATCAAACTTGACATGAAATTCGAATCAACCGAAGATAGGAGTAGAGATTTCCTCTTTATGCACACACAAGAGGAGGATGCTAAACTTGTACTGATAATTGAGACATATCTAGAAATTATAGAACTCGATAAAGGAGAGAAAACAACTTACATTTCATTAGGATTTGCCAAATTCCAATTGTTTGGTGCAAAAGGAACAGCTGTGGCTACTCCTCTTCCAATGTTCAAGGGAAGCCCTAGGTCCCTGATGCTTAAAGTTCCATTTGAGAAATTTTTGGTAAACAAATGTACCTTGGTAGCTCAAATAAAAGAATATAATGCCTTAAATAAACTAAAGGCGTTAATACCCTCAACCACTCTCTGTGGAATGAAGGATATCATCCCTGGACTGGTCGGTAGTAAAATGGCTCTGAAAAGAGATCAAATCAACCTCTGTGGTACAGAAGATCTCATCTTGACAAATATGCAAGTTGAGACAGGAAGAGGATTTGAAAAGATGTTTATGAGATCGCTTGAAGACTCAATTTATCAACAGTATAAGCTAGATAAGGAAGAAGCGCCAAAGGCAACTCTCTTAAGACTTGGATCACCTATGATTTCTGAGAGGAAGATGTACGTTACCTTTAATAATTCTTGGAAAGTTGCTGATGATAGTATGTTCATCTCACTGGAATCTCCAAATGACTCATTTAACACTTATCAAGCTATGGGGCATATTGAGGTTAAGGACTTTATTATTGACCCGAACACAGCCTTAGTTTTCAAAATTGAATTTGTAGTTAACATGCCAACAGCTGTGAGAAAGAAGAAAGAAAAATTAACTTATACTGTCGCATGGGGCTATTTCCTTCCCACTTATAATGCTGAAGGAGAAGTTCAGTCTGGAACCCTTAATTGTGACTTAAAGTTCGGTCCTGGTTTGACTCCTGATGGCTCAATGCTTTGGACGCCTGAAGTCAATGAAAACGAGGAAGATCTAACCATTGAGATTCTTGGAGATATAGATCCTAAAGGAAAATTTGATCCAAGATCAGTAAAAAAGGTAATTAGCAGGGATAATCCACCAGAAGTTAACATTGATCGTGTCAAGGGCAAAGATAGCGACCTTTTTGATATCGAAAAATCTCCGAGAGGTGACAATCGCTTGCCAGTTGGTGACACGACTGTAAATCGGAACCTCCGCAGACAACTTGAGAAAGAGGCTAGAGAAAAGGAACAGCTTAAGAAGAAAATGGAGAATCTTGAAATCAGGAATCAATCCTATAAAGACCAACTAGGTAATAAGTACAAAGGCGAAGCAGGAAGACTCGAAGAAGACATTAATGATGCCAAGCGAGATGAGAGGAAGAATATGGAAATTTTAAAGAAAAAATTTCAGAGAAGAGAGGAAGAAAGCAGAGGAGCTTATGAGGGTAGAATAAAGGAATTAGAGATGGAACTGAAGAGGAGTAAGAGCAGAAGAGGCTCCAAGTATAGGGGTGATAAGAGAGATGGAACTCTTTCCCCACCAAGAGTTGATAGATCTGATATTTTGGAGCATCCTAATACAGCACCTGTTCATCAATTGCCCTATGCGCCTAATTATATGGCAGATCCTTCTATGTATTTCCCTTCGTTCTATCCTCCAGATGATAGATCGAGGTTGATTGGTCAGTCAAGATATATTGATGAAGACTTGAAAATATTACCCCCACCTCCTCAAGTTCCACTTGAACTTCCAACTACCTTTGACTTGAGCAGGGATGATGAGATAGCATTCGTAAAACTTGGGATAAAAGAAGAAATTTTAAAATACGACCACTACGATCAACCAGATTTAGATGTCGAGTTGAAAAATCCTCTGCAGGCTTCAGAATTTTCATTGAAATTTATTGCGTTCAAACCTCCACTCTCAATGCCATTTGGGAGATCTGTCCCAAGAAGGATGTACTTCAAATACAACTTCTTCACATTCCCTGAAACAACGACTGAGGGTTGTAAGATCAAAGACCCTGATGGAAGGACGGATTTGATCAGGGAACTCGTGCCAGGCCAGCAATACATCTTGGATCGTATCGGGAAGTCCAAGGTCAGCGAGTACAGATCGATTGAGAACGAGTTCGTAATCGATAGAACAGTCTCTAAGGTTTCTGATGAGAACAAACAGTTCTACAAGTACCTTCTTCAGAGAGATCTTTCAATTAATATCTATGATGCAGATAGCCACATTCTGTATGGAACCTGTTGCGTAAACCTCAAAGGTCTTCTCCGACAGACCAGGACAGGAATTGTTCGAGCTAGGAATTGCGAAATCGCAGCCTTTGAAAGCTCAAATAGAAGTATCACTGGAGCTGTCAATATGGGAAACTTACAAATTTTGATGTCACATCAAGGCCGGAAAGAAGCAGAAGTGAATAACCTGGACAAAGAGCAGAATTATGCCACTAACGATCATTTTGAAGACAGGAAACAACCCAGTCAGAGGTTCAACAAGAAAGTCAAATCCAAACCTATCCAGGGTCTGATTGAAGAATATGTGGCTGATAAGCCAGATGATATTTATGAGAAGATTATAGAACCACCTATGCATCTTGATGAAGAAGATGCAGAGGATATCAGGAAGAAGATGAGAGTTGAGAGGCTTAAGAAGTTTCAGTTTAAGCAGAAGGTCTACCGCGATGCAGAGGATAGAATGAGGCACGCTCATAGGCCAGAAGAGATTATCAATGTGATGGCTGATCCTACTAAGCCAGATTGGGTCAAGAAATATAGTTTAAGAGAAATCGAGACTTTGAGAGATTTCAATAAGCATCATGTTATTGATCAGGTGCTACAAGATCATATAAAGGATTTGAAACACTTGTATATCACTCCTGGAACACCTTCTTTCTTCAAATATAAACTGAAGAATCCATTTGTGTCAAGGACTGTGTTTACAGTAAACATTAGTGATCCTGATAAGGTATATCTCGGTGAAACAACAGAATTCAAGTTAGTGAACAATAGAAATTTCGAATGGGAGTTCTGGAACGAAAAGAGAGAATGTGAAGCTCCATATTCATGGGATATGGTTAACAAATCGAATGAAATCATGCTTGAACCAGGAGAGGAATGCGAATTGCTGTTTAAATATATTACTTTCAGGGAATTTGATCCACTTAAACAGTCTTCAGAACATTATATCAAAGAAAGAGCAGTCCTTCTTACCTTTGAATATTCTTCCCACAAAGAAGGAAAGGGACAGGTATTTAATACCAGAGTTGTTGTTACTCCTAAAAAGCCTCCAATTGATTTCACCATAGCATTTGATGAGCCACCAAGCTCGCATGCATCTTTGACAATTCCGGCAAGTTTCTATGCAGATCCATATCAAGCATACTGCTCTGATACAAGTATTGTTTGAGAATTCGATGCAGAAAGCAGACTGACTGCAGAGCTTAGGACTCCAGATGTGGATTTCAACAATCCAAAATCCTTCTTGGTGTATATTTACCAAGACAAGTTCTGATATGGCTTACAATGTGTGCTAAAAGTAGTCATCCAAAGCTCCCTCTGCATCTACACAAAGTCAAGAGTTGGCTTAAAAATGGAGCATACTCTCACTCTTGAGGCAGACAAGCCCAGAAAAGTTCTACTGTTCAGTAGCAATAATAGAATTGTTGAAACTAACGGGGATGCACAAACTATTTCACCTGGTTCTTACAATGCTCTTACTGTCAATGTAAAGACTTATGAGAGAGATTACAAAAAGGTCAAGATCAACTGAGTTGATGTAAATACTAGAGAACTAGTGAAAACCTGGTTGATGCTGGTTGAAAGCGAAGAGCCAAAGATCACCCAAACAATAGATATCACTCTCATTCTTGATAAAGGAGTGACCAAGGAGATTGAGTTTACTAACAAGCTGAACAAAGAAGCTGTCTTTGAGTTTTCTTCTACAAGACCAGACCTATGCAAACCCCGCCATACTCATGTGAGAGTGGCTGCCAAGGCCAGGAAAAGAGTCGAGTTCTTCTTCCCGCCCAAAAGAGTGAAGGGCTCGGGTGATGTCCTGATCTTCGCCAATGATGAAGAGTTCAATTTTTACGAAGGCTACAGATTCAAACTGGCATATGTTGCATAAATGGCTAAATAAGTATGATTTCAATTGAATTTAGTAAGAAAGGGGTTTTGGGGTTTTGGGGTTTTGGGGTTTTGGGGTTTTGGGG